CTGTTCTAGAACAGGCAGCAGTCACAAGCATTGAGGTCATGTTGCTGAGAACACAGCTGAGCTGGGCAGGGCACGTCTCCAGGGTGAAGGACCAACCACCGCCTCCCGAAGGTCCTGCTTTATGGTGAACTTGCCACCGGCTGCCGCAAGAGAGGAGCCCCGAAGAGGAGATACAAGGACTGCCTGAAACAACATCTCAGCCTTGGCCATATTGATCAGCATAACTGGTCTACTCTGGCCTCCAACCGGGAGGTCTGGAGACACACCATCTATAATGCTGCTGCTTCCTTTGAGAGCGCTCACAGGATCACTCTCGAGGAGAAAAGACAATGCAGAAAGAACCATGCCTTGCAGAATATACCACTTAAGGAGTCTTTCTGTTGTGCCTTTTACAATCGGATATGTCTGTCTGGTATTGGCCTTATTAGCCACCAGCATGCTTGTAACAAATGTGGATAGACCCTTCCCCAAATCTTCGTTCACGAAGCCTAGCCATGAAAACTGAGGGTATAGAGAAGGTAAACCTAATTACAACTGCACAAAACTTGAGCTCTATAATGTAATTGGGTTATTGAATTGAAAATACAATTGATTATTTTCTATTAAATGTCATTTTAGCTGGGGATTGTTATGAAGTGAGTTGCAGTCTGACAATTTCCAAGTGGATTCAAGTCCCACCTGGTGGTGAAACTGTACAACTGGTTAACAGGGGGTGCATCTGTAGGTTCTGAAGTTATCCAGTGTCAGTTGGACAAGGTGCTGTTGCCTCCTTGTGCAAGAGGTTTGCCCAGATACTCTGGGCTTATTAAACCTTAAATTTTGTGTTAATGCTGAGGAAATGCAAACATTTAGTGAGTGTGTATTAATGTGTATTCAGTTTGTCTGTAGGAAAAAAATTCCACTCGGGAACACTTGGGCTACAAAAGTCACTTTCTGTAAGTGTGTGAAATGAATTGTATGTTTGCAGTGAATTCTAAAGTATTTGGTGAGTACAAACCTTTTGGTTTTAATTCATGTGAGTTGCTAAAGCTAAAATTGTGTTTGCAGCACGATCTGGATTCGCATATGTGGGCATTGAGCTCCCACCTGGGTCAGTTTCAGGGATTGCAAGGAAAAGAAAAAGCAAAAGCGGCGGGTCTTGCCCCGGTCCCTCCTGTCCCTGAGGGACGGGTCCTCGAACCCTTCCCCTGATCCTGGTTTGCATCACATCTTTCCTACAGTTTAAGATTCAAGGGGTGGGGAACATCCTGATCTACACAAACTGGTAACACCACGGATGGAATGACTTGTTTGGATTGTTCCAAACTGCCACGGACCCTCTGGATTTAATGTTATACCCTGTTATTATAATGTTGGTATTTTTACTGGTACCCATTATACACAAACACACACCACCTTCCCCTCCCCTGACCCCTCCCCCCCATCCCCATTTCTTGATTTTACATCAGTTTCTTGGAAACCAAAAGCAAAAACGCTCCAGGCAGGGAGTGGCTCCTTGGGGCAGAAGAGGAACCACAGAGCCCCGGGGGTCCCCACTGGGGCCAGGTAGGGCACGACCAGCAGCCCCTGCCTGGTCCTGAGCGCACCAGGAATGGCACTGAGAGGGAACTGGGAGCACTGG